ATGACCGTTGGACTAGGGCGGTTACTGACTGGATCCCTGGCGACATCAAACGAACTCCAGGAAGATGGTCAGACTTCTTCACGAAAGCTCTGAACGAAAGGAATGTTGATCCCGTGTCCCTGGAGCGATTCATTGGACCACTCTGGCTCGTAACAGGGACGAATGGAGACGTTACTGGCGCCCGCTCGAGGAAATCGACGATCAACGGGACGACAGGCGACAGGTGATATAGCCAACGAGTAGCCTGCCAAGGTCTAACAAGGGGTGGATTTACTCTGGGTACTACCCAGGCCATTCCGAGCGAATAATGGGCTTTGTTTTTGTGTTTTTGAAGGCGACCCTGAATCGCCCCCAGATACTTCTTAGTCACTCGAATGTAAGCTTTTGGCTGAGTCGATGGGCAGGACACCAACTGCACCCGCAGACTTCTACACATGTTTGCGTGGATAAACCTGTGATAAATAGAGAGTAGGTCGATCAGCACAGCAGAAATGGGAATCCATCCCCTGAATCCACCTGAGTCTCTGGGCAAGTACCGATGACTTTTGGTCGGCGATTAACTCCCCTATCCGCCACCTTGGGACGTCCTACGTAGCCTCGTCACTAACCGGCTGGGGATCCTTCAGTGCTTTCGTCCGAGCCGACATGCACGACACCAATTGGAGCTCTGAAGTTTCATTTCATCAAGGAGAAAGTGATGTCGCGCTAAGGCAAATATACTACTCATATATAAGAGCAGAAACAGCAAATGTTGGGTGGCGCAATGCTGATGAACGTACCGTAGTTGGTAGGCAACCAGGTCACCGGAAAACAAAATAATTTTATGTGGAAGGGTGAAAAGGAGACTTGAGTACAGCAGAACAGAAATTAAGGGCTCAGAGAGAAAACAAAAACGAGAACCTGGATTTCTTTCTCATAACTTGCAGGTCCATTCTCTGCATTACCTACGCAGTGCACTAGGACACAATGAAGGAGAACGCTGAAGCGGATCTATAACCTCCTGAAATGAAATGGGAAGGAAACATTCAAAAAGTTCCGCTGAGACTATCATGAGAGTAACATGAATGAACACCGATCATAGCAATCTCCATGCTGTGACTGGTTGAATCCCCGGCAATACACGTCGAGTTCTGCTCAGTGTTTTTTGTGAGTAAAGGTGTTTATAGAGTTCCTGAAAAAAAAGAAGAAAGGGCCCGAATCTGAAGTCGTGAAACTGTGCAAATTTGATTTAACAATCTTGTCTGGCAGGAGAATGAAGTACGATCAACGGGTTTCTTCTAGACAGGCTTATTTTCGCGCAGTACCATAAACCCCATCCCATCATCATCACCCATCGAAAGCGGCCATCCTGACTTAAAAACAAGTTTGAGGCGTTTATGCAGTGAAAAGTGCTCCCAATGGTCACACTGCAGTCGTACTCGACACCCTACTTGACCTTTGTCACCATGTTTAGAATTTGCTTTCGGAATGGAAGATTTTAGGAGTTAATATTCACAAAATCATAGCAAACGTGGTATGCCAAATAAAGCTGTACCCACGAAAAAAAGGCGGGGAAGTGAAATGGGCCAAGTCCGACAAAGGGGTACATAAGCCGGGCGACAGCTGAAATATAACAATAAATATACCTTCAAATTGTTTTGTGCAGCTCTAACTGGTCGGACATCCGCTTCATGGCAGAGTTCGGTAGCTCATGTATATGTCAATCGTATTGTAGTCTGCACGCCATACTACAGCGTCACATTGTGAATTTGATCGCCGAAAAATATATGTTGTAGAGAACAAGTCGGCCCATTTATGAAATGAGGGTGATTAATAAAGATACAGTGCGCAGCGAAGTTGGAAAAATTCCAGATAGCGGAAATAAACGTCGAGTGGGAGACCTCGGAGCATTCAAATCATCAGCTCTGCACTCCTCAGCTAAGCTTTCTGCACCACGTCAGATTGCAAGCCGTGCTTTCCGTGCTACTTCCTGCCACTGCATTCATGTCATCCTGCTTAGTAGGCAACAGATCTGATTCCTTTCGTTGCGTTGTGTCTTCCAGAAGTAGACGTGAAGAAGCATAAATAGCAAGATTTTTTCACCAGGGAGAAGATTGTTTTTTGTTCTTCATGGTTTTAAATAAACGCAATCCCGTCTGGGACTGCGTCGTGCTCTTGCTCTGTCTACTTCTAACCTCCTTCTCTCTCTCCCTTAGCTCTCCTAATTTTACCAGGTTGATCGGACAGTCTTGATAGAGATTGTTAAAAAGCATGGAATTTTCGATTTTTGATTGATATCACGTAACATGTGGTAGATATATAACATGCCAGAAGCATCGTCGCAAAAGTTATTGATGGAGCGTGTGATTCTCTGTGTTTGAGCAGGATTTCTATCCCACAGATCTATCTCTAGGCCATCATCTTTTATGAGCGGCGCTGCGACAGTGTAGCGACAGCAGCATCACATCATCACTGTGCATCTCTGCTTCGCTTGCTTTGCAGAAGGAGATATGAGCTGCAAAGAAGCTGCATGAGCTCCCTCCCCTCGGTTACTGAAAAGTACTGACTTGGTAGTTCCTTCACAGTGTGGCAAATAGTACGCGGTACGCACTGATATTCATATCGCACTGATATTCAATCTTTTCTTTTCCGCTCGCATCACAAGGAGTTTTTCAGAAGATATTGTCCTGTAGATGACTGGAGATGGTCACCGCTTCCGTTTACGCCACTAAGCTTCAGAAACTCGCGGAGCCTACTCGGAAAAAACGGGCTTCGAGCTTCATTGAATCTCTTTCAAGATGACGTCAGCCCAACAAAGATACCCATCGGAAACTGGGGAGCTAGGCTGAGAAACTGTCATCGTTGGCAGGACTTCGCTAAGTTCACCCATACTCAATACGTATTATACCTTGCTCATTCTTTTGATTTTTTCTGTCTCTGGGGTTTGAATGAGTCGAGTTAAGGATTCACTTAGAAACTACCGCCCAGTGCAGAAACGCCCCGCCCTCAATGGGTTAATCGACTTCATTTCATTTATTGACGGTCCGCTGCATGTTCTAATCCCTGTGACGACTTTACTTCGTATGCCTCTTTCCTCTTCGAATTCATTATGCCTTGGGAAGTTCTGCCGTGCTACGGAATCCTTGTGAGGTTCCTGTCACATGCTACTATTGCGATTCTTTGTTACTATACTGGTGTTAACTGCTCTTATATTTTCGATTTCTAATTATCCCGGGTGACTGGACATCCAGGGTATTTTGTTGGGCCAGAACATGTTCAGGGAACTCGTTTGTTTGTCATCTTCCTTTCGTTTATCCACTTATTACTCTCTAACATTTATTGTTTAGTACGTGTTCGTCCATGGAACGTGCGTCTCTAACACTGATGGCTAGAGCACAGAGAAAGATGGGTCAACGGTTTGCATTTCTGTAGTTGTGCTTAAGAACAATTTTGAGCAAGGGAGATCAAGTTTTCAGCCCAATGATAATAGAGGGAGGAGCACCTTAGTGAGTGTAACGTCAATTTCTTGCGAAAGATTTTAATCACAAATTATATGGTCAGTTGAACACTCTATCACTGAGAGANCGCAGACAGAGCGCGAAAACGACTGACCCACGCCAATCTCATTTTCACCGCGTTGTTCATTTCTACATCAGTTCGACGTCATAACGTTCATGTATCCCATGAGTATGAACCCATCTAAATCTAGGATCTCCGTTGTAGGCTTCGATCAAAATACTTTGAGACATTTGCATTTGATCATAGAGCGATTTGGCGTCCCCAAACCACACCTGGAATAATTTGTACTTGTAATAGAAGTGTGTATTGATTGCGACATTCATAAAGTGGAGAAGTTTTGAAAGATTCCGTCTTTCCTTACACTCCTTCTTTTTCTGCTGTAATTCTCGGAAACAGACCTGCGCTGTTCATTTGTTTACGGAGTGGAGCCACCTTAAACTAGCACCTCCAGCTCTGAAAGAACTTATAGTTGCAGTCTGACAGTTGTGCTTTTTTCGTCTTGTCCGAGGGTCTTTTTATTATGAACACGTATATTAACCAACGTTTTTAGGAGTCATGGAGTTGCCATTTGTCTACATGGATCCATTCGAGAAAAATGTTGACATAGCAAATGCGGCACCGGTACATACAATTTCATCCTTACAATTCGTTTTAGCGTTTATAAGAGTTTATATTTTATCGTGAACTGACTAGGATTCCCTTTAGAGAATGAAAGATTGGAATACCGTTCAAAAACTGCGATCGAAGCCTAGTCGAACAGGAAAACATAAGCTTCTCATCAAGTCGTCTTGTTCTTGCTTTGATCATTTCAAATCGTCTCCCTATTAATAATGAATACAATTACCTCTGGATCGCAAGTGTAATTCACCCACGCGTTGTAAGGCGCTATGAGTTCGCCCCTCCCCCTCCCCTCAACTTTTCCTTGAATTACTCTGCTCAAGTAGATCTGTTGCAGTTTGAACATCCTGCTATGAGAATGCCTTGAGAACGAGAGAATACCAAGTGGTTGCTTTCATAGTCCGCCTGCCGACACGCCAGCACGCGCCGTCCGAGGGATTACTCGACCTGTGGTATCGATCAAGGTTCAGTTGTAAACAAGGGGCAAGCGCCGCCCCCGGATGACGCGCGTGCGCCTGCTCGCTCGCTCGCGAGCCGGCCGGCGGACTATGAAAGCAGCCGGTGGTCGAAAAAACTATGTCATAAATAAGGACACAACTTATACATTTACGTTTACGCTTTACTAGGCTAATTGTTCTTCGAACTCATCAAATAGAATGGACAGATATACGATTAGTTGTCTTCTGTCTTGAAGGCTTTTTAATCAAGTGACTGACTTGCTTGCAGTTCATTACCCAGGCTCGTCATATAATCGCGAGTGATGCTGTTTCGAATGGTCTTAAGCAGGAAATCTTAGAAAATGCCATGGAACTAATCACTGGCGGTGAGCATTTCTTCCACTCTTGACGCGAACAAGAGCTTTTGCCGGCAATTTAAGAGTTTTTTTTTTGATAGTAACGTTTGAATATTCCTGAATGCTGTCTTTTGCAGTTAAGAGATATTATCAAACCAGAGAGAAGGAAGAACGCTTGTTAAAAAAAGATGCAGGTTAGTATTTTTCAGTTTCATGCTGTAGAAAAGAGATTAGACTAAATGAGAAGGAAAAATGTAAGTAAATTTGGTAACAATGAGATGGCTTGATGCTTCGAAGTTAAACCTCGCTCAATCTGAAGCGCAGCGGGCGGTGAGAACCAATCAAAGTCAATACTACATAAAGAAATCGAAGTTAAACTTACTACTTGCTACTGGATTACAATGACTCAGGGTTTGCGACACAGTAAGAGACCTCGTATCTTCTTTATTCCCTCAAAATTGGAACAAAGCCTTTCCGACCATTTGTAACAGAGTATCAGCCAACGATTCAAAATCATGTAAGAAGGGTTATGGACATAGCCTTCTGATAATAACCAGGCGGCCACGCACGCTATCGCGTGCGCTGGGGGCTCTAGCCATGAGAGACGGAGCCACATGAGCTGATTTTCATTTTAGGCCTTTATCGATTTATGAGTTTCCGCTCAATCTCCGCCTCCTGTGGGCGGAGTCTGATCCTGCCACCCACCATAAGTATTCCCATCCCGCTGCCTAAACTCCTTCCAACTTTGAACTTTCTAGGTCCATGGGAACCGGAATTATGAATTTTCGTATATAAATGTAAGAAATGATACAAGCTACGAGGCACGTTCCGCCCATTGTGGGCGGGCCTCCGCTGACGTCTTTTATGCTGGAGACACCTTCAACAATGCTTCTCCCACGTCAACTTTTTCCTGCTCTGTTGGCTCTCTCCAAACCGAGTTATAAATGTTTTCACAAAGCATTGCATTTTTCGAGAACGCCCAGCCTATCGAGGGTAGGTCTCCCTATTTGGATATAACTTGCCAATGCACACCTATAGCCACCTTTACACCCCAGTTTTGAAACCGTCTTGTGACTGAATTTGAAATCATGGTCCTCAGTACAGCTCATTTCGATGCACGCCACGCCCACTGTGGGCGGAGCTCCGCCAAGCTGATGTGTGCTCCATACTTCTCGGGACATGACCCACCCATCCCAAGCTTGACCCGGCCTCTTCAGGCAGATCTAAAGGAGCTGAGGAATTAGCCCAACCAGGCTGACCATCCCTCCGGGATTGGTTAAGTGGAACCAGACTTGTGTGCGAGGGCTGAAAGCACAACGGCTAGGCAAGTCACTGTATGAGCCCTTACGCACTCAATTCGCCACTACAACTCCGAGTGAAAGTAGGCTAAAGGAGCGCATACCTCAGATGGGATTGCCAGAAGACTTGATCCTTGATACACTTTTTTAGAACTCGACGAGAAGCTATATGGAGTCCAACAGGAGCTTGCAACAAAGGAACGTTCAAACATCGAGCTGCGAGCGTCTATTGAAGAGCAGAAGTACAATATCAGAGTGTCGGATATGGAATTGCGAAGGTTGCAAAATACCTTTTTTTGAGACTCAGAAAGTTTTTCAGTTTTGATTTTTCAAATGGTCGATATCCTTTTGAAAGTTTGAAAAGAAGGAGGGCGATGGAAATCATTGTGAAGAACTACAGTGCGTCGCCAAATGATACAGCCACCTCTGGTTTTCCCAAAAACTCACAGTATACGATGTTTCTGAACAAGTGCCAAAGTATTAGGTTGATGCATAATTATTGCGGATTTTTTTGCGGCTTTTTTTCTCCTGAAAGTGTTTGACTATTGAGTTCGGGCTTTTTCCAGAAATGATCTACTTGATTTCCTCTACAAGAATATACTCAAAAAACCATTCGCATATTCGCGAAATTAGGCTTTACTACTTCGAGAAAGATTGGAAGGTGGCACAGTCACTCCGCGATCTCAGTAACTTATCGGCGATCGAACAATGAGCCAGAAGCAACCAAGAAATGGGTTCTGCCCCTAAATCTGCCACATTTACCAGCAGAAACTTTTATGGATTATCTCGTCAACCGTTCATCGAAAAAATGGCTAGAGAATAGAAGTTACGTCGATTTGGATGACTTGATGGCCGATGTCAAGGCGTG